ACCTGCGTGCTAAGAGGTTACAACAATATTTCAGGTAAAAGAAATATACAAAGTGCTCTTTTTTCTCTTTCTGCAGGTTCCTACGGGTGGCTATACTTCTATTAACAACGTTCAGAACCCCAGTAACCCAGAGCCACGAGATAAGATGGAGAGCTTCTTTCTTGGGGAAACGCTCAAATACATGTTTCTGCTGTTCTCAGATGACATAGACTTAATTAATCTTGACAAATACGTATTTAACACAGAAGCTCATCCACTCCCCATCTGGGTGCCAGCATAGACTGGATCACAGCAGGGCTTCCAGTGGTGGTGTTTTTACCTTCAAGTCACTTTACTTTTCAGGGTGTGTGGAGAGATGCTATACGACACTTTTCCGGCTTAAACAAACCTTTGAGAAAGCATCTCCCATTTGGAGATGTCACGTCAGTCTTAAACCTAATCCCTGTGCTTTGGACCTGGGATGAAAAAACTGTGCAATATGAAGCTGCTTTTCCTGGTATTGGTGGTGAGGCTCAGAGAATATTCATAGCGTGGACCATGGCACAGGGCTCCGGTGGATCAGAACCCCTGCTGTCAGTCTTACTAAATGCTAATTAAATGCCAGGAATGCAGAAAGTTGTCTTAAAGCACAGGAGTGTCTGGAAAGAAGGAAGAAGCCTACAGGTTTCTGGTTTATTCCCAACATGTGAAACACCTGGTTGTGGCACCACTTCTTCGTAGTGCCCGTGGTGTTTCAGATGGTAAGTGGAATAAACAGTGGATGTTGTCCCAGGTGGAATTAAAGCTGTCAGTGGTGGTGCTGATGGTCAGATCTCATTCCAAACAACCAAGCTATGCTGCATCGTGTTAGGAGGAGGAAGGGGCAGCAAAGTGTCTGTAGCACAGTGTCTTAGTTTTATAGAGCACTTTGAACAGTCTGTTCAAGCGGTGGCTGAAATGAATGGTGGGAGAGAATTTGCTGCTGGTTTGGCTCAAAACGATATATAATTTTGTAGACATATTGCAGTTTTTTAACTTATCTGCAGCAATGCAGGAGACAATGTGAAAAAAGTGAATACACGTGCATTTTATGTATTAATTGCATCAGTTAGACTCAGGTATTCTGACTGAAAGCTGCTTTGTGAGGTTGGGCACTGGGAAAGCTTGTGAGCGCATTAGGTGTAATTCCACATCAGCCTCCTCCCATCCCTTCCTGTTCACATCTTGCATTGTGTTTGTTGACCCAGCGGGCTTAGAACTGTATAGCAAGCTTCATGTTACTCATCAGTTTGTGGACTGTGGAGAAGCTGTCAGGTTTGGGGTTGTTGTTTTTGATAGGAGTACTTTGGGTAGAAGTATTTCCACGAGGAGCTCTACGAGCAGACAGCCTCCACGTGTTGTGACAACTTCTGGTCACAGCAGTTACTGAAATCTGTTCCGTTTGAAAAGAAAGCAGAGTTAGGCTTGCTTCTTAAAGAATCCTATGGGAGCCTTCAGACCTTCTGTTTTTACATGTGCAAGATAGTTTTTAAACCACGAGTTAGGAATTGAGTGTTCTTCTGTTCCAGCATTCTGCAGCTTTCTATCTTTTGATTTTGTAACTGTATGCACAGTCTTACTTTCACCAATCTCAGAAATGTGCTCGTTTGTATGTTTTTAAAGAGATCCTTCTTGCTGAAACCTTTTTTCCTCTCTGATGAATGAATGGGAGCAGTGGGAAGTACGCAGTGTGTGGGGCTGGGGGTGAGACCCAGCCCCTCATAATCGAGGGTTTCAAAACAGAACGAATCCAATCTGACGCCACGGGTTGATCTCCAGCGCTTTGGGTGTCTGTGTGTTTTACAGCCTTTGTAACCTTTGATCTGTAAAGTAAAATGCTGCTTTGTTCTGTGCTGTCAAGTTCTGCTCACTGGGTTCAGAACTTGTCCGTTGGCCCACTCGTAAATCCTTTGAAGAACATTTATCATTCCAGGTACTAACGAGGGCTTCTGGCAGTGGGGAAATGGTGCACATCACACAAACGCACCTTTTTTTCTGTCAGCAAAGGGGCCTGAGATTTCCTAGAGGACAAACCTGTGCGGATGGTTCGTGTTCCTCCTGCTCCAAGGACAGCAGTAACTTTGGAAGGTGGTGCTTGGCCTTGTGCTGCTGCTGCAGCTCGTGGTGATCCCTGAGCTGCAGATTTGGCAGTGAAAGACACAAATTCCACAAGTGGCATTTCGCCTACGGTGTTTCACAAACCCCCAAGAGGAAATAAAGATAATTCTTACGATGTGGAATGCATTGAAGAGCTTGCCCGAAGTAAGTTGGTGGAATCCTGTACTAATCTTAGTGTAGTTAACTCTACAGCTAATTTTCTTTTGTCTCGTGTGAGGGTAACGCTAAGCCATTGTAGAATGGGAGGAAGGAAGAAGAGTAAAGATGCACTTTCCCAAACACGCTTCTTGCCTCACAGCTGAGCTTGCTGGTCCAGCTCATTTCTGCTCAACCTAATTCTTCCTGGGAAACTGAGTTGTCTTTGCAAAGTGTCTCTACTGAACACATCCCTTAAATATGAAGATGCTTGGCTCTGTTTAGAAAGCAAATGCTCGACTTCTCTATCACGTATGAAATGATACAAAGCTAAATAATCTGATAAGAGCTCATCTGCTTCTTCTGTTCTTTTGCAAAGGTCCTTCAAATTGCTTGTTTTTGCTTCCTCAGCATAATGTGTTGTCAGCCTATGAACTTTGCCCTTCTTTCTCCTATTCACGTCTCCCCGCTGCCCTCCCTGAAGCCCAACAGGAACTTTGCACACCTTTAAATTCTTACCTTTCCCCCATGGTGTGGGGTTGTACTCTTGTGCTTATTTGAACCAAAGCCTTAACTTTGGGGTCTGTAATCCACTGTGGGGTTTTGTCACTGTGGTGTGGTTGTGATCAGGTTGAACGTCAGGGAAAAGCTATTCAAGCCAAGATTTCCTCCTTTTGCACAAAGAGCTGCCTTGGTTTCTCTCCAAGAGCTTGAGTGCCTTTTCTGATTAAAATAAAGCAAAAACGTCCAGCCCTTCCCAGCTGTACCATCATTGAGAAATGGATGGGGTAAGAGCCATCAGGGCTGGCAGCATCCTGCTTGCAGTTTAACCTATTTGCTCAAAGAAAATTCAGTATCTGGATGCAGGCACATTTAGCATCTCGTCTGTTCAACCTTCTTGAGTGTGGAACTTTCCATACCAGGCATGGAAACCAGCAGCTTGGCAAAGCCCATGGCATTGGCTTGCAGGGAGCTTTTGTGTTTCACACCGCCTTCTGATTGTGAGGTTCTCAGCATTGCATGCCAAGCTCAAACACTGCAGTGTTTGCACCTCCAACTTCGAGCAATCAGCTTTCTTTCCTATTCCATTCTGTGATGTTGCAGAGATAAGGGATGCATAAAGGATTTCTTTGCCATATTTGAACAGTTTGTGGCAGTTCTGCTCTTGAAGATTCATAAAATTATTTATATAACACTTCATGCATATCCCTGACACTGGACTCCTTTGGGGCAAGTAATGTCTGCAGCAGGAAACTGAGGGATTCCTGTAGTCCACTGCAAGACTTAAAGAACTTGTATCCCTCTGGAAGGTGAGAAGACACCTTTGGAACCTGTTGATGGGAAGGTTCAAAGCAAGCACTGTCCAAATGGTAAATTGCAGACTCCTACCCCAAAGACTGATACTGAAGTTGGCTGCTGTGATGCATTGCTGGCTTGGTTTAGAGTGTCTGCTTGCTGGGAGCTGCGCTAAGGCAGGGACAAAGGCAGTCGAGGCAAGATGTCATCCTGTCTGCACTGACACCTGCTGCTACCTGCCTTTTTTATGTGGTGCTAATCCTGAACCATTGCTAGGGTAGAGCACATCTCAGTGCAGAAGTTGGGGTCTGTGTGCACGGAGGGAGAATGCTGGACTCCATCTCCGCGTGGCTGGAGGTGGCAGAGCTGATTGAGCCACAATTTCAGCAGGACAACCTGAAGCCTGACTTGGGTGTGAGCCAAAGGCATGCTGACAGATCTAGCAGAGGTAGCAGACTTTCCTACAGCACAAGGGGAAAAAAATTCTTACTGAGGTTGTAGTTCCATTAACAGTCATGAAGCCCCATGCTTGGGGCTGGAGTTTGCCTAGTGAGGTGTTCTGTAGGTTGCTCTCCATTGGTAAATAATTTGGTGAATAGGCCGTAGGTCCTGTTCTTCCTCTCCGTACCCCTCCAAGAGAAGCTTTGTCCTTTCGAGCTTAAGAACAGGGAAGAGGTAAGTTGGTCATATGCAAAAAAAGCAACAGCAACGAAGACGAAGCATAGACCTTTTATCAGCACCTCAGTGTTGTGAAATAAGAGACCAACAGTCCAACTCTGGGAACCAGTGCACTGTGACAGCAGGGGGGACCTGGCAGCGCGAGGACTTGTGTTCGAGCCACGTGATGTAAGTTGGAGCAGTGCTGTGACTGTAAGCAGTGCAAGCCTGTGGTGAGCAGAGAGGCTTCTCCACTGCCTGAAAGGCACTGCACACTGATTAAATGAGGCATCCAACTGATGACCAAAACACGTATTTTTACAGTTCTGCTGCTATTTACTGGCACAGAGCACATCGAGTAGGTGAGAATCTACCTGCTAAAGGACACAGATAGTTTGCTCCGCTTTAAAAAATCAAAACTCCTTTTTTGTTGTCTTTGGTTATACTTACCAAGCAATGAAATTGTCACACACTTAAATAAACTTGTTATTTATTTTAAAGAGCTGAAGCTGTCTCAAGTATAACTGCGCTTCTACTCACTAACGTGTGGCTCCTGAGGGACAGTGGGACAAAACAGGATTTCTGCAGATCAATTTCTCACCAAGCAGATCTTGTGTTTTATCGTCTTATTTTCTTGTGTCTCTTAAGAAACAACACTAAAAGAGGACACCAAAATCCACAGCACTGAATGGGGCTGAGCGGGTGAGGACTGGAGCAGACCAACCTGCAGCACAGAGCCCAGCATAGGGTGCAGAGATGGTGGGGGCCTGGAGCACCTCCTGATGGGGAAAGGCTGAGAGCCCCGGGGCTGTTCAGCTGCAGGAGGGAAGGGGAGAGGGGATCTGATCAGTGACTGTACGTATTTAATGGGCAGGAGTCAAGTGGATGGGGCCAGGCTCTGCTCAGTGACAGGACAAGGGGAGATGGGCACAAACCTGCCTGGATGTCTTCCGTGCAGCCTGCTCAAAGGAACCTGCTGTAGGACCAAACAGGATCTTCAGTGGATCCTCCTAACCCCTGCAGTTCTGTAATTCTGCAATATCTGCAGTTGGTCACCTGTGAGACCAAATATGTGATGACCATACCTCCGCTTTTCCTCTAGACAGAGAAAATACAAAGGGGATGACTAATAATTTACTTTCATCCTACCCAACGCATTCTTCAGGACAGCAATGACTCCTTGGCCTTCAGGAAAATTTTATTGTTTCCACCATTTCAAGCACCTTCCCGTTATGAGCAGAACAGCATGAAACCCATGCAACATGATTCTGACTTCAGTCAGTAATTTGGCTTTTTGGTTTTCTTCTCCTGCTTGAATTTCCATTACTGGGGCAGAGGAGGCAGCACCTTCTCCAGAGGCACAGCTCTGCTCTGCAGCCCAGCAGCACCTGAGCACGGCTCCCATGGCTGCGCTCACTGCCAGCCGCCGCCCGGCGCTCCGGAGCGTTTCTCCCATGCTCTTTCCATCCTTGCAGATTTCACCCAGCTGCTGATGATGCTTGCTTCTAACTTGCGTGCCTCTATGACAGATGCGGGGTCAGCTGGGTTGTGTCCCCTGGGGACAACAGAAGCATCAGAAAAATTGAGTGCGCCCTCAGCAAGTTTGCAGATGACACCAAACCGAGCAGTGCAGTAAATGAACTGGAGGGAATGGAAGCCATCCAGAGGGACCTGGACGGGCTGGAGAAGCGGGCCCATGAAAACCCAGTAAGTTTCAATAAGGCCAAGTGCAGGGTGCTGCATTGGGTCAGGGCAATCCCAGGTA